CTCAGAGGACGCGCGTTTCGCTACCGCCGGTGGGTGTCTTTGGCGGCTAAATTTGCGAGGGGACTTCAAAGGAAGGCATTGAAATGCTAGGGCCTACGCAATATTTTACTTTAATCGACTTTTTGTATTGATTTATTGCAGTTGACAAGATGCACTCGTTAGATTAGAAAATGTCAAGTTATGTGGCACTTATTCATGAATTCAGTACTATGATCTGACAGTAAGCTTAGGAACTATTGAACGAGAAAAAAATAGTCAAACTTAAACTATCATTAAAAGTACTAAATTATCTTAACACTTACTTGTATTTTGTGTTGATAATTTGGCTAAAGGTATAGAAAGTAAAGCAAAACTGTAATCTCATTTGTTGTGTCTCAGATGAAACATTTTTCAGTCGTTTCTGTGCCATGTTTTAGTCAATCGTTTCTTAAGTACGTTTCTACATTTGAATGGGAGCTAAATATTTGTTCTTATTGCCAGCGCCATCATACATACGCTGCAAAGTATACTGAGGGCTAGATCAGTTCAGTTAACCAGGGTCGCCGAGACATTACAGGAAATGCTTATTTTGTAATGCAGGTTGCAGTTATTCGCTTCTCATGGTTTACTTAGAGAAAATCTATTGTTTCTTTGGGCTGCCCTGTGACGGTTTTATGCGTGTCGCATTAATCTCCCCATCGGGTCTTCGAGTTGTCAAGATAAATTAATGAGAAAATACAATTTTTCAAATGAGAGTGGTTTACTTATGATATTGCAACAAAATGTGAAAATATTCGTCTTATTTTACAATACATTTTACGCGTATGAGCTTAATTATTCATGCAATATCACGTGTTTCATTACGAATTGGCGACGTGGCGCGTGCGAGGAGTCGCGTGTGCGGCTGGCGAAACTGCCCCGGCGAGCGCCCCCGTTCGCCCGCTCCAGAAACGGATGTGGGGGGGGGGGCGCCCTGCCCTGAGGACGCCGCCGCCCACTTCATTTGCGGAAGACCCCGCGAGGATATAATCCCAAGGAGAGCGATCATTGCGAATCCGCCAACCGCACCTGCCCCCGCCGGCCCACCTCTACCTCCCGCTTCCGCCTCCCTCCGCGAAATAATTAATCCTAATACCCAGCGAGAACGCCGTTCCGCTTTCGGAGCAGCTCGTGTCTAACGTTGACTGGAACCCACTGCGGTAATCACCCACGCCGGGAACTCCTAGCATCGGGCCACCGGTTCGCAATTTCAGAAGATAAGACGCCCGATGAGAACTTTGAGATACGATAGTTTTCCGGAAGAAAACCGTTCTTCGGGGACGTTGTACTCCAATTGCACCGTGTCCCCTCGTCCGACAGCCAACGCCCGGAGTGATAAATCGCACGTGCGCAGAGTTTGACGAGCGGGAGCTCCCCGCGAGTAGATCATGTAGCTTAGTATAAAAGCGGCGGGATCGGGAGATAAAGTCGGCGATGAGTTAGAAAGTTTTCCTCCGCAAAAGGGGAAAAGAAAAGACGCGAGCGAGTTAAGACACGAGTTTTTTCCCCACCCGTTCGCAGAGAAAGGTGGAGCGGCGTGAAGGTTTAGCAGGGTTTTAAAAGTTGATGGAGTTATGCGGGGTAATGACGGAGGCATTTGCGATGGCGTTCCAGCAGCGGGCGACACGTCCGACACGAATCGTCAGTCGGGCGGGCGAAAGGGAAACTGGTTTGCGAGCGGCAGCTGGACTTTAATTAATCCTCGCGCTGGGCCCCCGAGGGCGGCGGCGGCGGCGGCGGCGACAGGGGCAGGAGAAAGCAAAGGCATTCCGCCTCCCCGCCCGCCGCGGCTCTTCCTGGAGCTAGGCCCAGGGCCCAATTGGGGATCAGTGTGCGTGAAGAGGTTGCTATTGCTATGATTTGGAAGGGAAAAAACAAGCTATTCGGTCAGAAAAGAATGTAGCGGAAACTGAGGGAAGTAGTTGCTTCGATTGAGGACCTGCTCCTTTTTTCGCGTGTTTGTGTGGTGGGCTCTCCAGCCCAGGCCGATGACGTAGATGTGGTTACACTCGTTCCTGTGTGTTAAAGACACTTTGTGGCAGGGGCATGAGTGGCGCCAGGTGCTAAGAGGGAGTTGAGCTATATCTAGAAAGATTGGTTTGACTTAAAAGAGCATTTTAGAAATCTCTCTTGCACATTCTTGGAACATGTGGTGATAAAGGATAACGGTTATTATTTTCTTGTAAAGAAAAGTGTACAAATGATCTTTACATTTTAAAATTAAATAAAAAATAATTTGAAAATGTGTTTATTCTTACGAAAAGTCCGATTTTGACTGTGTAATAATAACAATAATAAATAATTTACTCATAAGGAAATAGGAGGCCTTATAAGCTTTATCTGTAATCATCATTGCGGATTTTCTCGAAAACCGCGATTGAGTGTTTCAACTTGCACCCAGGAACAATTACACTTTAGTACTTATTTTAAAATGCAACACTACCTTGTTCTATTTTTATTTTGATATTTTTTATTCATTTCTGCGTACTACCGGGTACAGGTATGCGCAGTTGCCGCTTTTCCCAATGTGTCCATTTTTTCATTTGCCACGTTACATTTCTAAAGCTTCTATCCATTTCCATTGTGAGGCCATCTGGTATTGTTTCAAGGAATGGCTAGTTTTTATTCCTTGTATTATTACTATAATAAATTAGCATTTCAAGAGTTACAAATTGCTCCAGTTAAAAATTGCTCTTGTAACTAACGGCTTCGTGGAATGTCACATTATTTTATTCGTATGTTTAAAAACATGTATATTAATGGGAATCTCTTTTAAAAGATGTTTTGCATCCATATTGGTAAATAAGGCGTTTATATTAATTCCGAAAAAAACTTCAGTTAGTATTGTACTCATATGTAGATCCTTTTATTTTTTTCACAAGTACAAAGCTGTGAATGTCTGGCAATAAGTATTAGGTACTACTCATTAAGAATTATACCGGGTGCCAAAAATATACAATGTTGTATAATCATCTGGGTAAATTATTTTCTATGCAGTTTTATTCTTCTTTATTCATTTCATTTACACATTTACTTTTCCACTAGTTTGTTTCCGCTTGTCGGTCGCTCGGCCCACTGTGAACTGCTACCCCTTCCGCGGCCGGCTGGGAGCGGCAGCGGTTACAGCACTTTAATCTGCCTCGTTAATATTGACGACAATAATTTCCTCGGCGGCGGCGCGCGGCCTGGTTCTGTGTGGGCTTCACTCACGTGGCACGCGCACCGCCCCGCTCCAGGCTCCCCAACCCGCTTCTCGCCTCCCCGCCCCGCTCTTCCCTTCTCCGCGCCCCGCTTGGAATGGCCGCTCCTCCCTGACCCGTCCCACTCCGTTCCTTCTCACTCCTCGCGCTCACGCCCCGCAGTGATAGACCCCTCCCCTCCCCGCCGCGCCTCCCGCCGCCACTCTACATCCTGTCACGACTTCCGCTCCCCGCCACGCGCCGTTACGCTCTGGAATCCTGCTCCACTCCGGTCCGTCCCGCTCCTCTCGGGCCCACAATGACTAACCTGTCCCCGCCACGCCACGCCACACCATTCCCACTCTTTCCGCCATTCTACATCCCCCCCCCACGCTCTGGAGTCCCGCTCCTCCCCGCCATTCCCTTCCATCTTGATCCTTCTGGTCTCGCGATGGCAAACCCCTCCCTGCCACGCCGCACGCCGTCACAACCCCTTACGCTCATTCCCGCCACCGCGCCTCCACCGCGCTACGCCCTGAAGTCTCACTCCTCGTCCCGCTGCGCTCCGCCCCATCCCATCGCAGCCCTTCCGGTCGCGGCCCCGCCAATGCCACGCCCCCACGCGCCTCCCCGCCTCGCTCCCAACTGTACAGAGTGTTCGCTCCGCGCGAGTGAGACGCTGCGAAGGCCTGCGGCCGGCAAAAAGCGCGCGAGCGGCGAACTCGAAGCCGCCGCCGGGGAGGAGAATTGGAATCTGCGTTTCCCTCGCGGCGTCGCACTTCGCCTTTTTTCATTTTCATTTTATTGCGTTTATTTGCGCAGAGGTCTGTGACCCCGGTTCACAACGAGCGAAAGTATTGTTTTTCATATTGGATAACGCCCAGTCAAAGATACTTAAACTCCCCGGCGTTGTGAAACTTGAAACTGCTTAGTGTTGAATTACGAAACAGAATAGGGTTGTCTGACAAGTAAACACGACATAACAAGAAGCCAGGGAACTCATTTTTTTAGTCGGCTAGTTTCGGACCACTGAATCCTGAAGGTGGTATTATCCACTCATATTCTCCCCAAGCGCGTATTCGTGAATATTTATGCAGAAGGAGATAGCTACTATAGTCATCATTCATGGTCGCATGCACTGTTGGAAACCGTGGAGGTAAACTATTCAATATGAAATAAAATAATAAAACGTGAACAAAACGCATGCAGAAGTTGGTTGTAGCTTGAGCTTTCAAAGTTTACGAAAACCTGCTATCGCCTTAGCGGCCTTCTTCAAGGCGTAATTCAAGAGCGGTTCATATAATACACTTCGAAGATGGCTACAGCATATCGGTCGTAGCGTACGGTCCCCAGCATACTGTTGCTGTTAATGCCATACTGCAGCATTCTAATTGAAACTTACGGACTGCAGCGGGCTGTTTGCAACCTATTAGCCTCAACATTCTGCTCGAAACATGCTGGTCGCATCATACCACTCTAAATCTACTCGCTGCAACATGCCCTTCGAAAACGGATGCTGCAACATGCTATTCAAAAGCTAGCCGAAGCTGCTGCTCGAAGCATAATATTTGTAGCATGTTGCTTGACACGATTTGGCCGCAATACACTGCTCGAAACGTACTAGCCGCAGTCCACTCTTTGAAGCGTATTGACAGTAGCGGCTTGTCGGCCGGCAACATTGTTTTGTATCGCTTCGTTAACTCAGCCGCTGCCCTAGCCGGGCCCCTTCCGCGTGCACTCTCTTTCGCTGGCGCGCAGCCGACGTGGACGTGCGTTGCGTGCTCGTGCGTGCGTGCGTGCGGGCGTGCGCGCACTCACCCTGTTGTGGAAGCCGCGGCCGACGCGCTCCGCGTTCACCCACGCCTGCCACTCGCCCGTCTTGCCGTTCCACGACTGGCACGAGTGGTACCAGCGGTGCAGGCGGAACGGGTAGTTGAGGCGGTAGAAGGTGTGCCCGTTGACGGCCATGCTCAGGTAGCTGGCGCGCTGCGTGTTGGCCACCCACGAGAAGATGGCGCGGGGCTGGTCAGGCACTGCGGAACACAACACGCGTCCATCCAGTTGCATTTGGAAGGGCAATTATACATTTCATTTTTTACCGATACCTTATAGCGTGCTATTGTCTTCAATGTATACTGCATAATTTACTTGGATCGTGGTTACGAGGGAAATATAAAAACTTTTGAATGATGCTACATGTTCTCTTATGGAGAGAATTATAAAAGGAAATTATTGGAGAGAAATATGAAAATACAAACAATAGTCATGTAAACATGTAGTTAATTAGTAAATTGGAATCAGTAAAATTAGGAAAAAATACAATTATGTATGATACACGGGTGTTAGTTGGTTCTAATAATCTCGGGCGACAAAAATTCTCAGGCATTTTGTCGCCTCTCGATCTTTAGAAGCCTTATAACGCCCTTGGCCCATAAACAACTCTACATCAACATATCAAAAGGGAATTTAAGTGGATGAGTAGTTGTGATTAATCCCGGCAAACTAGTTTAATAGAAAGTATATTTTTATATAGTTAAAACTCGATAATTTGAACAGCAGTAATTAGAAATCTTGGATACTCGCTTTTTTCCTTTCCCTTTCACCTTCAATTAACTTTCAAATAAAAGTGATATGCGGGCCTTTGAACTTCCAGTCCAAATATTTTATTACTCCAACTCGCACCTTCCAAGAGAGATGGAGGCTTCACTGTGCTTGTAAACAGGTAATGAGGTAGTGAATTAATGTTTGTGAACCTTCGAAGGTTCGAAAGGCGCCTAATCGACAGCAGTGTGTCAATAACGAAGTGATTGGAGCTCTGATGAGATCAGGTGCAAGGATCATAGAATGCACTCCACATCTGCTCATCAGACAATTGTTTCCGCTTTAACGAGGCGCGCGTTGTTAGAGTGTGAAGTGCTAATGGAGGCAACAAAGATTATCTCTTCCCAGCGCGGAAGATAATAACGGTGATCGGGGGTAGTTAACAGCTAAAGGAACTGCGTTGTAAGTGCACGTGCGCGTGGGAGGGGGGGGGGGCGAACACCGGAGGCGCGGCTGCTGCGGGAGCGGGGCGCGGGCGAGGCAGGATAGAGGCGTTGGGACTTTCGGGCTCCCGTGCATCTGTCATAGCGCTTCTCTTTTAACGTTGTTCAAATTCCCTCGATTGTTGCTTAGGAATCCGCAGTATGTGTTATTTGGATATTTGAATATGAATTTAAGATCATAAATAGAGCCTCGTTGCTTTGGATTGTTTCTAGTAAAACACATCAGTAATTTTGAATGTATCTTACATTATCAAATTCTTCACACTTGACTGTTGAAATCGTTTGCTTTTATCTGTTCAATTACAATTTAAACCCTAATTTGTTAGCTGTCGAGTTTTATTGCGGTTACTTTCCCTTTAATGAATGTAGACATAAATAAACGTTTCGTCTGTGTCGATGCCCAGTCAATTTCGCCGCTTCGTCCGCTTGCACGCCGCTTTCACCTGACCTCACATCCTCCTGCTCCACTGGTGGTACCTGCGTAGGAGAAGATGGGGTGGTCGTTGCTGTTGTTGGAGAACTTGGTCCAGGCGCAGAGCGTGAACTGCAGGATGTCGGGCAGGTCGGCCTTGTACTGCACGTACTGGAAGTAGAGCTCCTGGTTGAAGGCGACCTTGTAGAGCGCGCACTGGTCGGTGGCGCCGGAGGCGGCGGCCAGCGCCGTGGGCACGCCCTCGGCGTCGCCGCCCACGAAGGGCTTGAAGGCGTCCAGGCCCAGCGTGGGGCGCCAGCCGCGCGACACCACCGCCTCGCCCGCGGCGCCCGCCGCCAGCCACGCCAGCGCCCACGCCCACGCCCACGCCCACGCCCGCCTCATCGCTGCCGCTGCTGCTCTTCACCTGCCGACACGGGGAGGAAGCGCTTAAAAACACAAGTGCTCACTACGGATGGCCGGCGGTTTATCAAACACGCCAACTTTTTCTATTACAACAATATTTAACTAAAGTTCAAAGACAAGTGTGTAAACATTAAATTAAAAATAGTTTAATTGCTAATATTATTTAATAAATGAATTAGTAATATTAAATATTTTTAATTATATTTGTACATTTTTGAAAGAAGAGGTAAATCGAAATAGTTTGCAGGGGTAATATGGTAGTCGCACCCTCGAGAGCTATATCTGTATATTAGTGTACTTTACCGTATAATTTCGGGGTTCGCTTTAGGGGAAAACGTGGTTTTTAATATAAGTTGAATTTCTAACTGGTATCAATACCAATTAAATTGCGTATTCAACAGAACACTTACGGCAGCGTTTACTTCTGAGAACAATATTAACATAACTGTTCATTACGTGGTGATTATTCAACGTACCTTTACTTTGAATTAATTATGCGCTTGGTAATTGAGAGCTTACCGAAAGTATACCCTTTAGTAAAGTTCGACCTTCTAAATCCATTACTTCCATATTAATCCTCTCGGATCTCTTTCTTCGATATTTTCAAATATTTTGTAACTCTCAACGTTATAACTTAAAACATTTTCCCCTTCAGCTTGGAAAGATCGAGGTTGTACTGTAAACTCACTACTTATACTAGGTTATTCTGTATACGTTTTATTTTTTCAAATGTTCAAATATTCATAAAAAACTGATTTTGTACGTAATTATTTTGCAAGAGCCAATGGCATGACGAGAATCGAACAGAAACAGTTTTTTCCTCTGCTAATAATTACACTTTCGGACTTGTCAATAGATGACCATAATGACAAGTATTTTTTTCATATTAACAATAAATGTATTAGTTAATGAAATCATGTATCATTGCCTTCTTGGGAGAGAAATGCATAGCGGAGAATAAGCAGGTGGAAGGCGAGAAACTGTTGTTAAGACCTCTGACTGTGAAAAGAGAGCAGAAGAACTTCGTATCTGTTATCTACTTATCTTACCTAGTTGTTTGTCGTACTTCGCTAGAATGGAAAGTTTCTGGCAACACTGACTGCAGGGAGCACAAGACGTTACCTTAACTCCACAAAAACTTAGAAACAAAATGCTCGTGTAAGGCAGCAGCTATAATTGTGCAACTCCTGTGAAGTCGTAAGTTGACGAAGCACAAAGTATCAACGTAACTAGACATAAGGTAATTAATTAACTATGCTTTGCAAATGAAAGCAGCGATCGTATGTACCTCACTAATTCTCAGCAGTGTTAAAAACCTACATTTTCGTCAAATCGTGCAATCTCTCTACTATAGAATATCACCTTGCGTCTGAGGAGAGCATTCTCTAATGGTCATATCTACATTTTCAAATGACACCCTTCGTGCCTCAAATTTACGTTTTTATAAAACAGCTACTCTGGTCGATGTGGAACCCTGTCATTGCCTGGCAGGCAAAAACATTACAGTCCTCGGTGAGTTTGGCAACTTGCAAGTTTCGTTCGGACCGTCAAAAATTGCGGCGTCGTTTTGTATTCACGGTTCGTTCTTCGTGCTTTCCATGACTCCACCCATGAGGAAAGGTTGGACCGAAATGCAAACACGTGACGTCGGCCATAACTCTCTTCCTGCTTGTCAATTTGGAGCACAGCTTTCGTGGACCACGCGGGGGCTTAAGACATATTCGAGGGAAAAGCGGCCAAGGCAGAAGGCGGGTGGGCGGCTTAGATAACGAAAACTGATTCTCGTCCTGCGACGCGGGCCGCTTTTGGGCGTGTCACACACTTTCTCCCGGCCCCAGAGCACGTTCGCAGCTGCCCTCGCGTGCCCTCGGACGCGGCTGGGGGAGAATCAGAGCGAAAGGAAGGGCGGGGTTGTGGAAGATGGATAGAGTGCTCGCAGATAGTACGTCAACTTTGTGGACGAGATGCTTAAAAAAAGAGTGCCGAGAACAACAACGGACTGGAGGTTTTTCTGTTGTTCAGTGCTGCTACGATTATCTTTGCAACCACCGTCGCTCATACGGGTGCTGGAAAGCTCATGTGAGCAGCTCATTTCATCCGCGCCTGGTAGACTTGCTCGTCACAAGGGTGTTTGTAAATGACATATTGCGTTTCTTTAAGCAATTACTTTGGCCATTTCGTGTGAACATTTTCTGTTTTATCGGATTTCTACCTTATATTCGGCCCGATCTAAACTTGTAATTAAATTTGTGGAAATGTTAGATTCTTATCTTGTATTGTGTCCATGAGATATTTTAACTCCGGGAAGATATACCTGAGATGTTTTGTTAACAGTACGGAATAGGATGATAGTCTAGTACTCTACTAACATCTCTGCATAATGTATTTCCTTTATAAATTTATTTACTTATTTACCTTCATAAATTCAAATAATACTACGAAATCGTCTGCAAAAATTTGTCTTCTATGCTCTCAGACAACTACCATAAAATTTCGTTTATACCCCGTAATTAAGAATTTGCCTGTAGTCTTCAGCTTCCTCACAATTCTCTCTTATTTATTTTCTTTAGAACTATTTGAAACGGCTTATTTAATTTCTTAATTTACAATATCCAAAGTAATAAAAATATTTTGTTAAAGATGTACAATAGTAAGCAAAATGTATTAAAAAAACAATTTTTCTTTTCGTAACGTACTCGATATGCTTCTAAATGCAGAAGTCGAGAATTCCCCCTCCATTTGAGTGTGCCCGGAGCAGTTGTGGGTGCTGGTGGAAGCGCAGGCGGCTGCTCACTGCACGCGGACCGCGCCCATGCTTCAGCCCCCCCCCCCCCGCGCACGCACGCGTGCCCCGTGCGCATCTTAATAGCTCTGCGCTGTGGTTGTGGGTGCGGTTCCCGGTAACGCTTAGACCGCCGAGAGAAGTGGCTCATAGCGCAGCGCGCTGACTTCGCATTCGGGAGGGCCGAACTCCATCCCTGTGCCGGCCACCCTGACAGGTGTTTTCGTGCTCACCAGGCGAATGCTGAGATGGTTCTACTGAAAGGCCATGATTGCGAAAACCGGCGGCGCTAACCAATTCGTTAACTACGTGAAGTTGCCAAGGTTAAGGAAATTCGAGACATCGCAGGTTCCTGGTTGGGTGACCGACCAGAAATCCCAGGATCTAACGGCGCCAAGGCCAATTGCCCTTTACGGTATACATAATCGCTGAATACAAATATAAAAACGAAAAGAAGCTTAGATCTTTCACTTCGTGATTCGCGTTGTGCTCAACGGTAAATCAACTCTTAGCATTTGTTCAGCGACATTGATTTCGTGAGTACGAGCGAAACCAAGTGCCAGTTTATCACACTCATTCCGTCGGGAGTATTTGCATCACAACGAAGAATAGTTAGTGAAGCAAATCTGCGATGTGCTGTGTGTGTAACGCCGAATAAAACGGCTTTTGATTGGTCTCGTCTGGCAATTTTGGAAACATGATTCGTGGTACCAATGATGAAATTTTCTGTCTCTTGCCTGTAATTAGTTGACATCATCTTTAGAGCAGTGAGCTTTATCGAAAGGGGGCCATGGGGAAAAGCGAGTCGATCTGTTGGCGGAGGGTTGCAGCAGACTTTCCGTAAAGTACGTTGTTCGAACACTCCCTATTCCAGCTCTCCCCTCCAGCACACACGACGCAATGGCGTCTAGTGCAGAGCCCTCTTGCCATGTTAAACATCCTCCAGGACGATGTGAAATTCCGCCAGGATCATTACGAGTTCTCAAGAACAGTTGTGCAATGTCGGAAGTTGTATCTAATTACCTCGGTTGAAAATTTTGACACTATAAGCAGGTGACACCGTAAAAGAGTTTCCGGTTGAATGATGTGGGGCAGCAATAACGCAACCGCAGTGAAATCACCAGTGTCTCGAGGAATTATCTCGCTGCGTGAAGCGAAGAACAGGGAAATTGGAGTGGACTGCCCAACAGCAAATCCCCTCAAATTACTTGCATTTCACTTCACCGCCTGGATGACGATAGTGTGTCAAACAGCGTTCACCAAATGTGCTGCAAATAAAATTATAACCGGAATTCTTTCACGGTATTCTGTTCTAATGAAATTAAAATTCGAAAATCTTTATTACTCAAGTCAGGATGGAGAAAGTTTGAGATTATCGTATGAAACGTGTTGTGCTCTGAGATTAGAACCATGCCCCAATCTCCTAGTGAAAACACCTTCCCTTAAAGGCACCGTATACCTCCAAGTGAACAGACTCGGCGCGCGCCTTTCTAAATCTACCACCGCCGCCTCATTGTTCTCCGCAGGTGGAAGGAAGCGCCGGCGACGGATTTACCACTGTGCTCGCCCCGCTTGCAAGTGCACGGTGTTCATTCCCTAGCGCGTTTCGCCAGCGCTGCTCCGCCCGCCGCA